AGGTGAGACCCTGTGGCAGTTGTGGCCTTTGGCAGGTGTGGCCTCTAGCAGGTTGTGGCCTGTGGCAGGTGTGGCCGAAGGTGTGTGATCCCCAACAGGACAGCCCAGTCGAGAGCTTGGATCTCGACTGGGATCCGAGCAGTACATGTATATACATACATGTATAGCTTTTGACGTGAGAACTATACATGTGTATATATGTGTTTTTCTATACATGTATGTATATACATGCTTGTCTATACATGTATATAAGTATTCGTCTGTATATGTATGTATATTAGTGCTCGTCTATACATCTATATATATGTGTACGACTGAGTGGGAATTGTATTGTTTATTTTTTTATCACGTCACACTGTGGGAAATGTGATTAGTCAAGTATTGGGCTTTACCGTCAGCCTTCCTCTCTTCTTGCCTGTCTCTCTGTCCACTTGACTGTGTACCTGTCTACTTAACTGACTTTGTGCTCACTTGACTGTCTCTATTTTACTTGCAGTATACACGGAGTGTGTGTCTGAGTTCTTCTATAAGCCCGTCCTGGGAATGATTTGATCCATCAGGCTGTTGGTTTACTCCACTCCACCCTTATGTAATGGAGCTGTATCTGCTGATTAAAGTGTTTTTTGGTATCTACACTGTAGCCAAGCTTTTTTTCCACACGACACTGAGCGCTCGTCCTACTGGTGTTTTACATAACTTTGTAAATATAGAATTCCAAGAATCTGAACCTGGAAGCTGAGTGCGTGGACATGTTGCCAATTTTCCTTTGAAAGTCTGCCGTGCTCGTGTAAATATCAGTTCTATTGTCAAAGTTTTAGATATCGTCCTCTGTGTATGTTGTATGGTTCGTAGTGGTTGTATATGAAGGTTACATAGATGAAATTGTCAATATCAGTACGTTACCTTAATGGGGTAACCTTTTAGTCTATTTAATTTTGTTATACTCACCAAAGTGCACATATGGGGGTTGAGCTCCGGCTCTTTGGCCAGCTTGTGTGTACTAATGATACACATGCATGCACGCACACATACATGCTAGCACACACATATACGCAAGAAAACACACACATACATGCTAGCACACACATATACGCAAGAAAACACACACATATATGCAAGCAAGCACACACATACACGCAAGCATGCACCTGCGTGAAATGCACCTCACGACGCTGGAGGACAGAAGAGTAAGAGGAGACGTGATCACTACTTACAAAATTCTCAGAGGAATTGACAGGGTAGATAAGGATAAACTTTTTAACATGGGTGGTATGCAAACAAGGGAACACAGGTGGAGACTGAGTACCCAAATGAGCCACAGGGACGTTAGAAGGAACTTTTTCAGTGTCAGAGTAGTTAACAGATGGAATGCATTAGGCAGTGATGTGGTGGAGGCTAACTCCATGCACAGTTTGAAATGTAGATATGATAGAGCCCAGTAGGCTCAGGAATCTGTACACCAGTTGATTGACAGTTGAGAGGCGGGACCAAAGAGCCAAAGCTCAACCCCCACAAGCACAAACAGGCGAGTACAAATAGGTGAGTACACATATTGTGTGTGTGTGTGTGTGTGTGTGTGTGTGTGTGTGTGTAAACCAGTAGGACTTGGAAGGGTTCAAAATTACCAGAGATGAGGTTAAGAGGCAGTTGTTGGAGCTGGACATGAGAAAGGCTGTTGGTCCAGGCAGAATCTCACCATGGGTACAGAACGAGTGTGCAGAAGCACTTTGGTTGCTTGTCTCCATGGTGTATCGTAGGTCACTGGAGACTGTCGACTTACCGGAAATATGGAAGACGGCTAATCTAGTCTCAATATACAAAAAGGGTGACAGGCAAGAGGTACTGAACTACAGGTCAGTGTCTTTAATGTATACCATGCAAGGTGATGGAGAAGATCATGAGTAAAAAACTAGTAACACATCTGGAGAGAAGGGACTTCGTGACACACCACCAACATGGGTTCAAAGAGGTTAAATCTTGACTCACGGGTTTAAAAGAATTCTACGATCAGGTGACAAAACTTAAGCAAGAAAGAAAAGGTTGGGCAGACTGCATTTTCTTGGACTGTCGGAAAGCATATGACATGGTCCCCCATAAGAGGCTGGTGCATAAGTTGGAGAAACAGGCAAAAGTAACTGATAGGGTGCTCCAGTGGATAAGGGAGTCCCTAAGCAATAGGAAGCAGAGTTACTGTGAGGGGTGAGACCTCAGATTGGCATGAAGTCACAAGCGGAGTCCCAGGGGGACAACACATACTTATGTACTCAAACCTATTCTGTTTCTGATATATATAAATGATCTCCCAGAGGGTACAGACTCATTCCTCTCAATGTTTGCTGACGATGCCAAAATTATAAGAAAGATTAAGTCAAAGGAGGACAGCATAAAGCTTTAAGAAGACCTGGATAAACTGAAGGAATAGTCCAAGAAATGGTTGTTAAGAGTTTAACCTGAGCAAATGTAATATAATGAAGATAGGTGTAGGGAGCAGGCCAGATACAAGGTATCATTTGGAAGATGAAATTCTTCTAGAATCAGAGTGAAAGACCTGAGGGGTTGATATCATGCCAGACCTGTCCTCCGAAACCCACATCAAGAGGATAACATCATTGGCATATACCAGGTTGGCCAACATAAGAATGGCCTTTAGAAACTTGAGCAAGGAATCATTCAGAACTTTATAGTCCAAGTATGTCAGACTAATTCTGGGGTATGAAGCTTCAGCATGGAGTCCATATCTCGTCAAGCATAAAACTAAATTGGAGAAGGCTCAGAGGTTTGCCCCCAGACTAGTGCCTGAACTGAGGGGAATGAGCTGTGATGAAAAACTACAGGAATTAAACCTCACATTGCTGGAAGACAGGAGAATTGGGGGGGGGCCATGATCACCACATACAAGATTCTCAATGGAATTGATAGGGTAGACAAAGACAGTTTATTTAACACAAGGTGGAAATTGAGTGCCCAAATGAGCCATAAAGACTTTAGAAAGAATTTTTTTAGTGTCAGAGTAGTTAATAAATGGAATGCATTAGGAAGTGATTTGGTGGAGACTTCTTTCTTTGATGTCCAAAGGGATTGGAAAGGATGGGGGAGGTAGAGGGATAGGGAGATGAAATTCAGGAAGAGGATGCGGGTGTAGAGAGATTGGTGGAAGAAGACTCCATACACAGTTTCAAGTGTAGATATGATAGAGCCCAATAGGTTCAGGAACCTGTACACCTGTTGGCTGACGGTTGAGGGGCAGAACCAAAGAGCCGAGGCTCAACCCCCCGCAAGCGCAACCAGGTGAATACATACACACAAGCAAGTATGCATATACATGCAAGCAAGCACACACGCATACACACAAGCAAGCACGTACGCATACACACAAGCAAGCATGCACATATGTGCAAGCAAGCACGCACATACATGCAAGCAAGCATGCACATACACACAAACAACCACGTACATGAACGTGTCTCCAACGCGTGCACAAACGTCGAGGTGACAAGAATTGAATGTCGAAGACAGACTCCGTTCACAGTTTTAATGGTGGATTTGTCAGTCCAATAGCCTCTGGAATCCATACACCAGTCGATTGAAAGCTGAGAGATGGGAGCTAAGGAAAGGAACTAATCCCCATACAAGAACAACTAGGTGAGCACAACTAGCTGTCCCCCAGTGCACGTGCACCTCCTGTATATCAGTGGTAGAGAGGTAGGGGTCAGCCTTAACATTTACGACCTTAGTGCTAACATTTTTTATCCCCACTGTCTACATACAGTATTTAATTGTGATAGTTATGATTAAAAACTCGATTTGGCTTCACAATTAGGAAATGGCGTAATGAAAAGAAGGCGTCTGTTCCACTCCAATATGAACAAGTCAACCTCAGAGCAACCAAATGTCTTGCAAATGCCCTCTGCAGGGTATGCCACACAGCAGCAAACTCACACATAATACTATGCACTGAAAGGAACAGACCCTGGACAGCCTGGTGAGTGATAATCATCAAGCCCCAACCCAGAGATGAGGTGTCTGTGAACACACTGATCGACAGGAGAGGACGGCACTATGGACTCGAACCTTGAAAAGCCCAAAGAAGCTGGCGAAACAAGACCTGATGAAGGAGAATCATGGCCTGAACCTGACAGTCCAGGATGCGGCAAAACAGGCGGAACTGGAGAAACCGGTACAACATCCTGAGCCAAACCCAACCCAACTGGAAAAATCATGCAGGCAAAGTTCAAGCTCCTGCACAACCACTAGACTAACCAAGAAGTCACCCAGAGCTGATCAAACACCTGAAGGTGACAAAGCTGCAGGTGGAACAAAGCCACTGGAGGCAGGGACACTGACACCGAGTCCCAAATAAGGCCCGGCCAAGTTCATACCCGGGACAGAACCAAATGGGATTCCCACCAGTCTACCAGGCACCCAAACCTGGCAAGCTGGGAAAGAAACAGATCTCTGGCCAGCTGACAACACAGACCTGCTGGGGACCCAACCCAGCCAATGATCAAGGTTGCGGAAGAACGAACGAGAAGAGACGAAGCCAGGTCACCAAGACTTGTGCCAATCTAGTAAAAACATGGAGTCAGATTCAAGCCAAAAGTCAAAGCCCAGAACAAAAATCTGATGCCCCACAATGAAACCTAACCAGTCCCTGTACTTCAGGTGAATAGGGCATACCAATACACATCCTGGAGACCCAAGGACAACATCCAAGTGTCCGCCTGTAATACAAGGCAAACCTGAGCTAAAGTACTTATGCGTAAGGTCAGAGGCAGGGAAACAGTTAATACTCTAAATATTTTATGAGGGTTAACTTTCAGCTCTAAATTGGGATGGATAGTCATTGAGCACTGTCACCATCTTAGTTAACATATATTATTCCTCTCTCAATAGGCATCAATTTTGAGTACCAGAACACAAAATTTAGTTCAATGCCTGCAATTTTGGTATAGCGCAATTATGTTAATTTGAGGCTTTGTTTAATAAATAAAATACACTACTTTCATACATTCATATATTAAAGCAAATATAAACATACCTTCTGAATTATTCATAAAAATTTGAATTTACAATATTCATACATGGATTTTGATATACAGTACACATATATTCATTAATTTTGTAACGCTCATTATAATTTTCATTTTTAACTATACAAAGACACATAGTTTAATATAGTTTGATAAAGATTTGAAATTTATAAAAAAAACATATCAACATTAAAAATTACCAATTTTTAAATATTTAGCTAGCATTATTATATCAACATTAATACAGGCTTAATGACCAAAAAATGAATCATGCTTCAGAGGAGCCTCTTGCTTTTACCAAGAATGTTCTTTACTAGAGACATTGGAGGCACAGAACAACTGAAAGGGTCTAGCATTGGGCCTTCAACCCTCAAAAAAATCCATATATATTAGGGCGACAGGACAAATGAGGAGCTATTTGTCTAGCTTACTCACCTCTCCAATTTGACGTTTGTACCTCCTCAATTCATCTACCAGTACATAAATGTTACCCACGAGATAAACAGCGACTTTTTCTATCCACTACTCTCGTCATACACCTTTTCTTTATTGTCTGTAATACTCTCTTCTTCTACATTACCAACATCCTTCCCAGTCTTGTTTGCACTTTCATCTCCTACACCATTTTCCACATTTGCCACATGCTTATCAGATCCATTCACACACAAATCTGCTTCTTGTGGCACAGCTTCCACCACCTTCACCACAGGGACTACTCTATACTGGTCCAGGTCCCCTTCGTCCTCATCCTCGGCATCATCATCACTACCTCTGTCCTGACTCTCCGCTTCCCGGAACTTTGCCAGCCTTGCTGCTGCATGACCCAAAGGTGTCCTTGCCTGCTGAAGAATATTAAGACGAGAACACATTACACACATAATCATTATGAGTACACTTCTGCTTAATAAAATATAAAAAAAAAATTAACTAGTATTTTATATGCATAGGGTCAATTGCTGCTCAGCCCATCCTCTCGAATAGCCACAATGTCACAAAAATTATATACTAAATTGCCCGAGCCTAACCTAACTCAATCAATGGACCCACTATTAGAAAACATGTACAGTATAGCATCCCATCAATTTTGTAAGATGCTATGATTTGTTGTCAACCATATTTTGACACTGGGGTTTTGACATCAAAATATGATGTCTTATTCGAGAGGACAGGTTGGCTCTATATTGATCAATACATACAAGATTTGTTGATAGTAATCAATATACAAATAAAAACTTCAATTTTAAAAATAAACCTTCTTACACTTGAGTTTTCAAGTTGTTCATCATTTCCTGATGAAACCTCGGATATGTTGAATTTATGAAGGGGCAGTGTTGCCATCCACTTGAGCATTGGCTTTTCCTTGATCTCCGTGTTAACTATCGAAGAGTCAATATATTTTTTGCGGAATTCCTGGATCTTCTGTGCTGCTTCATCCCAGTTGAGCGGCTGTGAAAATATAGCAATAATTATATTTGCTTCACTAGTCCCTCCATCATTTACACCCTGGATTCATACGACATATGATTAAGTTCAATTCCCTCAGAACGGCAAAGTTGAAATTACGTTTTCTGTTACCAAAAGTGACAGCCAATCTTTACACCCATATTATAACAGACATTCCATCTTTTAACTGAAAACTGTCAGCATCCAACAACACTGGAAGATTTCATACAGGCCACATGATCTACATCAAACCTGCACCATTCTTGACCTAGCTCATTTGACCACTCCAGAAATTAACATCTAATCAAACCGACAACATCCACTTTGGCTGATATTACTCTGTTCTCAGATATGAATGGCCAGCAGCAGGAAAAAAAAAAAAAAAAAAATATCTTTAGAGCTCAGATTTTTATTGTATTAGTGTGTAAGTTATTAGAAAAGTGGTATCAGAAGCAGCAGATCTTTGTATGTAATATTTGGAGCCCAAAACAATATATAAAGCATCCTGAAATTATCTGCTAAGATGAATCGTTTCCTTGGTTTTTATGAACCAAGAAGATTATTTTTTCCAAACTGGGTCATATAATCCTGACGTAAACATCACAAGGGGTCCCAAACTTCTTAACCAAAGATTTCTAGCTATCTAATAAGTACTGTACCTATATTATACAATTTACTGTAACCATAACAAACCTCATGGATGCCATCAGTTCCATATCTCTTATTGTATTTGTCATAGTGTGGCTCCTCCAGTACTAAGCCAAGCCCAGGAGCAATGGGAACATCCACACGGTCCTTCCCCCAAGCCCTGGTGATGATGTCAGCCTGAGCAAGCCCCTGACTGATGGCCATTGTCAAACCAATCATTTTGCGAATCTGGTGCAACATAAAACTTTGACCTGCAAAAACATAACACACAAACATTCATATATAGGATACTTATATACATTAGCTGTAAATACTAAGGCTCTTCTGTTTGACAACAATTTGTCTGATAGATATGCATTCTTACCCACTTTTATAATGTAAAGACAGAATTTGTTGAGCTGGAGCATGCTAATTTCTTCTATAATGCACACTTCTGCATTGGCATCTACTGTACAGTATATAAAGCATGTACTGGGAATGGGCAAAAAAATAATGAATGTCAAGATGATATCTAACTTCAAGGACACACAGATCTTACATTTAATGCTTTACTGAATATTTAATGGGTAAAACAGTAAATTCTATGTTTATCTCAATGACCTATTTAATGCTTCTCTACCCCATGAAGTGAGAATCAAGCACTCAATGAAATGAAACGTATATTTCTATTGGGTCCTCAAGTAGCTCACTGAGCTAATGTTGATCCAGCCAAGCCTTGGGGAGATGCAGCAGGCCTCCAAGACCCTCCATGTTAACTCTTCCCCACCTACATACACATCTACTCTTCTACCTGCATGAAGCAACTACTCCTTCACTTGTACATACACCTACTCTCCCACTAACTCATAGACACCAGTATAAAAGTCAACGTTTAACATTCCTCATCACAATGTGATGAAAGTGTAACAGATCACTGCAAGTATTTACACATCATTTACTCTCCTTTCATCAGAACTACAGATCCCACTTGTATCACTCCCCATACTGCTGAAGAAAATGGCATAGCAATAATAATTTAATATGCAACAACAACAAATATGACTAGAACCAACATGTCAGTAGAGTACCTTTAATTTTGATAACGAGCCATTCCAAGCCATCACGCTCAAACGGCTCACCACAGTCTATGTCCATGATATAGCGGTTCGCACTTGCATCCTGGGCTTTTCTGAAAAGATTACCTTTCTTCATCTAATATACATTTTACATATTCAATGTTTGTTTTCCATACAAAACCTGATATGTGTATTTTAATTATCTTTGTAATATAATTATTTTTAATTCACACAATACAGTACTGAAAAAATCCAGCTTAGAGTGCAGAATGTTGACCTGCCTAAACTGCACCAGATCCTTACCAAATTATCAGAGGAAAAACGATCTTGAATTATGAGAAACTAAATGGAATAGCTTAGAAAAATAATTAGATTATGTGGGTTAATATCAATACTGTATAATAATTATACCCATATGTAGCTATGTGATTAATACAATATCTATACTGGATAAAGATTAGAGCCATGTATGGCAAAATTATGAAACAAATACATAGTTATGATAGTCGTGATAATCTGAAAGTCCAAGAAAACCCAATCAAAATTACCTACAGGAAATGTAATGCACTAAGAAACATCGTCCATGATACCATCATTCTGTCATCAGAATGATGGCATCCTGAAAATCCTTCTAGCAAAAACACTCTTGACCTATTTAGTTTGATTTCTATGTAGCATCATTTAATATTAACACTGCAAGTTTCAGTGAGATAGCCAAGGTAATCACACGACTCACTTTCGGGCCGTGAAATTGTGGAAATTGTGAGTGCCTTTATACAATTCCAAAGTGGCTTTAAGTTGTTCCAAAACCTCGGGAGTAATACGGTAGTCCTCATTCATTATCTGCAATGTTGAAATCTAATAACACTTGTACTGTAGAAAAATATTGCATGATCACATATAGTTAAGCCATTTTGCATCCCATTAATAAAAAGGCGGTTCACGCATACAGGTCTTTCTCAAACAAATAGACGGTACACCTTGATATGTAGAACACTAAAACCTATCATCACTTCTACAGTATAGATATGGGGTGGGAAGGCATATACCATACAGAATTGAAAAGTATTATAAATCAGAGTAAAAAATAGTGACATCCATTATTCTCATAACAGCATTTCCACAATCAACACATGGGATGACAATACTGTATTGCCACACATTAGCAAGAAAGCTTCACAAGTATTTGAGCTGTTTCTTGGATTCTCTGTGAACTACTCAATCTAAGGTATTACAGCAAATTTTCAATTATTCATTGCCTCTTAACAAACTGCTTCTATTCAGTCCTGTTCAAAAGTTGTGTCATTCACCTGCATAAAGCAATTTATCACAAACTTACAACCCTTACCTGCTTACTTTTATTTTGGGCCTTCCTCCTTTCCTCCTACCATGAAGATCAGTCACATACACTTTATTTACCACTCTCACTTCATCCATTTACTCAACAGCTCTTGACCACTCAAGCAAATTCACCTGTACTGTACTTAGATTCACACATGCATTCACATTCCATACTTGCCCATACATTTATCATTCCTTATTATATCTATCCTCCTAATACTGTACTCCATATATGCTCTTCAAGCACACACATAATTCTGCAAAACTTGTCATTGTGTTACATTAGCAAGACAGTTGTCACTTGCAAAAGGAACAAAATACAGTTAGAAACATGATGACTCCAGATAAAATAAAATTTCAAAGCCCAAAAGATTTTGTCAAATTATGCAAAAATGAGTTGGCCAATCAGGACATAGTTTTTTATATATGTTAGCATAAAAAGTCCTAATCAGCTCATAACTTGATTGAAGGAAAACAGAAGCATTGGATTACAAACATATTCAACACAAAGAGCCAAAGCTCAACCATCACAAGCACAACTAGGTGAGTACATATGTATTTGAAAACATGTAGAGATAGACATCCATAAACAATAGAAAATTATTTACATCACAATACAGGTACCAAGTACAGAATAGTATAGACATATTCATTGCTAGTTCAAAAGGTTACCCCAAGAATTGCAGGCACAAAACTTACTTCTGTTAAAGGAGCAAAAGCAAAAGAAGGACACATATACGAGTAAGTGCGCGAGTCACACCACGACTTGCAATTGAAGCTTTTAGTTGTGCGACGAATAGCCATCACACGTATCTGAGAACAGAGGTGTTCATTGATAGCACCGACCATATCTGGTACATCCTCAGCTGAAAAGTAAAAGTAATGATGATCAATATCATAACCAATCATCTTGACTTCAGCTGTCTAATAAGCCACTGTCCACTATCCTACACAGACTCACACTAACCAAACCTGTTAGTGTATTTTGACCACTGCCTATTTAAAATGCAGTACAGGTATCTATTACTGCACAGACTAATATTACATTGTTCATGAATGAAAATCTTGATCAATTTTTCACAGTACTGTATCTCCTGTGTTTATACTTACGAAGCTTGAGTGATATTACTTGACGCGCTGCAGAAACACCTTTGTCTGTCCGTGCGGCACGTTGAAAGTGGAATATCTGAGGGCACGTACACCCTTCGTCGGTTACCAGGTCAGCACGTAACATGGCTGTTAACAAGTCATCTTCTATGGTGCGATAGCCAGGGTTTCTGTGGACACAATACAATAACTCTTGTTGCTCGAGACAAAATACTCAGCATAACAAAATAAACTTAATACAGTGCAACCTCGGTTGACGACTGCCGTAAAGTAAGGTTTTTTTTGGTATATGACCTCAAATTCATCGTAAAATTTTAATTGGTGTATGATAGTTTACTTGGAAGACAATGCCTATTCGTACTCATATGGGTTGAACGAGCGTGTGATACTGGGGGCACGGGGCAAGGCACTAACAGTTTGTTTACAAATCTATCCTGCATAGTGACGACTGCAGCTGTGCTTGAATTCTATGTGAAGAATTTCATTGTTTGCCTGCTTTTTTTGCTTTTTTAACATACTGTATGTGAATTCTGAGACAATTCTATTACAAATGTTCCAGAGATGTGTAAATATTTCATTCAAAATGATCTGCTACCAGAAATCTTAGCCAAATATTCCCAGTTTGTAACTGTAGGTAGTAACTAAGTGATTGTAACCTATCTACCGCTGCCCACTCGATGGAGGGGCGGTGTGCAGGACAAACATATGTGGAGAGCTAGAGTCACAATTGATATGTCAGTTGCTTAATTTAGAAACTGTACTTGTGGTCGATCTTGACCTTCCTCATTTATTAAGAAAAAGTGTGCAGTATGCAAAGAATTGCAAAGTTTGCTGAAAAATGTCACCCAAATCAAGCTTTAACAGACCATTGTGTTAACCTTTTTAATGACAAAGTGATGTCTCACTTCAGATAAGTGTTACAACGTAGAGGAAAAACAAGTGTCAATAGACAGGTTTTTAGTGAGACAAACAAGCAGTGAGCCATAACCAGGTCCTTGTGGCATGCCTGCAAAACGTAGAAGAGAGAGTACCCCAGAAAAGTCATCACTGCCTGATATTATAATGGAAGGGGACTCCCCTTCCAAACACTAACACCTCTCCTTCTCACCATCTTCCATATGCCAACAAGAGTCGTCATTAAAGGTAAGATATACATACTGTATTGTAGTCCAAAATGAGTGGTATTCAGTATAAAAATTTATTTTTAAGTTAATATTTTTGGGGGTGTGGAATGGATTAATTCAATTTACATTATTTCTGATGGGAAAATTTGCTTTGGTTGACGATGCATCTCTGGGACCGGATTACAATCATAAACGAAAGTACTACTGTATAAGTAAAGAAATAGCACTATATTTTATAATTGCATTCAAAATACTGTTCCAGGATATTTAAATTGTGTTATGTAGTGTATACAAATGCTTGATGGTTACTACATATTAAAGACATTGTGAAAAAATTAATTAAATTTTTGTAGTTTTCTTCTTTTAATTTTCTTGTTTCCTATGCAATACATGTATAGTATGGCAATCCCAATGCTGTGCCCTGTTTTCTCATTTTTATATTTTATTTTGAACTTGCTGAACAGTTGCTTATAAGGTATAATTTGATAGAGCTAATGATACATAAATTTCCATAAAGTCAAGCCACTCACCTTTGCATGCCCAAATAACCTTTTCCGGAGTAGGCAAGGAGCAACGCATATTTCCTGCGTTTTCTTCTGACAATCTCCCTGCCATTTGTTTCAGCTAAGCCATCCAAATGAATACGTTTTGTCTGGGGTTCTGTTGTCTCCGGTTCTGGCGCACGCTTAATACTCCCTCCTGGTTAATGAAAGTTCTTGATAACTCTTCAGTTAACTATGAAGAAATAGCATCACACAAAGCACATGATAACAATGATCTTGAAAAACCCAAGGAAATTCCCAACACTTCTTATAAAACACAATTATATAAAGTGCCTCAAGACTGAACTAGTGAAAATTTTACCTTTACTGCTTAGCAAAAACAGTATAAATACAACTTCATGTGACCAATTTTTAGTGCTAAGAGGAGAGAGAAAATTAAGTAAACATCCAGCTTTCAGTTTCCTGAAAAACAATTTTTTTATGTAAGGCATTCAGTTGCTTCCTTAGTACAAGATCTGAATACTCCCCTAAGTAGGATCTGGAACAATCTAGTAAGATTTATATGCCCATGATGCTTCACATAATAGTTAAAATGATTCACCGACAAGTGTATGCTCTTTTCTAGAATCTACAGATGTCCACCACTCTCAATATAGTCTTCTGCAATCATCCACTGACATCAGAGTTTGGGGATTCTGAAACTCTGACCTTACCTTTGCATCCTGGTACCTCTGAACCTCGATTCTCCCCACGGTACCGGGGTTCTCTCTCCTCAGTACCTCCCCACGATTCCTCACCTATATCACTATTACAGGGGCTGTAGTTGGTCTTTGACAGGCGACTGTCTTCTCTCCTCGTAGGCTTGAGGTTCTGGGATGTGGAGTGCTCTTGACAATAGCTACTTCCTGCCCCTGTAGTTGCTTCTGCCACCATTCTGTGGCAGCTGCATCTCACCAATGTTAGTCATACTGGCTTAGCATTTTCTCCTGATAATTTTATTCCATTTTGCCATTGTTTTTATTTGGCTTCATTCCATGTGATAATCTTGTTTTAGTTGGCAACTGAATACTATAGTTTACAAATCAGGCAGAAAACTATACTGTATTTTGAAACGCCCTTTTCTGAGAGAGGCACTCTGTTCCTTCCTCAATGCCCATATCTTTTTTTTGTACTTTTGATTGGTTTTCTCGTAGTTTTATCAGTAGTTAGAATGTGACTAGGCTTGATGAACGGGCTCTCATGTGGTGCCGGTCCCAACACTTGTTTTGGTGCAACAGCCAAAGGTGGGACTTGGGAGCTAAATAACACAGTGCTTACCTAGGGGAGTAGGATACGGCCTAAGGAAGCGACTGAGTACCAGACACTCAAAAAATATAAATGGAAACACAATCCCTGATGTCTCTGACCTTAGAGAACCATCACCTTCCCTGATTTCATCACACTTACCCTAACATCCTCCCCACCTCTTTTCTCCCCATATAAGCACTAGCCATGTTAGCGCTTATTGTTTCATTGTTCAAAGATTTGGGTTTGGAAGAAATGCCTGTCTGTTTTCTAATGACATATGAAAGCTTTAATAATTTATTTATTATTCACTCCTAAACTTCCTTCAGGCATTTTCAATGTCATATATTAATTTAGGTCTATAATCAAGTCATGCTCTTTGGCAAAATTTACATTTTAAATCTAGGCATTTTTACTGCTGTTGCTTTTATTAAATTTTATATTATGGGTTTATAACATCACATGGGTAAGTGGTGCCCAGTATAATCACTGGGCAAACTAAGCCCACCCGCTTTATCACATGTTTATTCAGACAACCGGCTTACCTCTCCACTTTATCGCCACAAACCCAAAATAAATAACTGGCATATCCAGATAAGTAGTGTTCGGAAAGCATATGGTCATCTGTATACATAACTTGAGGATGATAATGAAATTAACTCTTCACCATCCATTATATTTACTTAATCCTAATTTGTAGTTCAAATTAAATCTCGATACAATATCTATCAACGAATTAAAATACACTGATGGTTAAAGTTTCAGCATGATTGAAGAGATTGGTTATGTCAGAAAAGATAGTCAGCCAGGTACTAGTTATATTGCCTTCTTATTAATGAGAGCTCCACCTCTATAAACTCACCCACCTCCCTCTGAAGTGTTATTAAACATGATGTACCGGGTGAAAGGCCTAGTACAAATCTGTCAAGTGGAAGTCAAGTGTAATATATTGAAATAAACAATGATAGAGACAGAAAGTATGTGTCAAGAGCAAAAACAGTCAAGAACTTGCCAAAATTTTTAATTTTATGGAAAGCCTTGTGGTGAAGAAATAAATTACAAGAAACACTAGGATCCTGCAATATACAGTACAATACAATAGTTAGAGGTCATCACAGAATCACACATAAGATTTCCTTTCAAAACACTGACCATGGTGGATTGCATCAAGGTCACCGTGACTGTCCTTTGAAGACGCCATTGAATTAAATGAAAGATTTTGTAAACAAGTTCCAGCAGCAAACAGGAAATGTAGTCCAGGCACCCGACTCTTTGCAGAAAATGCAGCGTCAAGTAGCCGATAATATCCGAATAAACCTGGAATAGCATAAAATATTTTCTGTAAGGTGCAAAAATTTGAACATTTTTTTTTTTTTTTTTGTCTATCACAAAATATGCCAGATGTCTAACATGCAATGAAGCATTCCAAGGAAGAAACTGTAAATGTATGGATTGATACACTATACAAACAGAAAAACTCATGAATGTATGAAATCACGTGTCTGATTGTATGCAGCCGGTATAATGCCCTCTAAAATAAACAAAAATATTTGCCTAGTAAGACTCGTGAAATAATTGGTAATTCCAGTTAACTGGTAATTTTTTAATTGAAAAAAATCGCCACATTAAGGATATGCAAATATAATACCATAAATTATAACTATCATTTAACTCAAGTGTGAGAGTGAGCTCCTCTCAACAAGTGAATAATATTGAGCCTGTCACAGAATAAATCACTAAAAGCAGCTACACCGATTGATCATCACCAAATACATTTAGTAATTTACGAAACTTGATTAAAAAGTCAAACAAAACCCACAAACTGGTGGTGGTGGTAATGAAGTGAAAGCCTGGGAGCCTACCAGTGTTTACAGCCATGTGTTCGTGTTCTTCAAACTCTTCATCCGGATTATCATCTGGGTCATTGATCTGGCACCTGGCAAGGCTAGGAATCCGGATTCACATCAAAATGGCTGCGGTAACGCAAATAATAATAATAATAATGATGATATCAAAAATAATAATGATAATAACAATGTACATAAATTACGGAAGGTCTGATTACAGTGGTTTCATAATATGTATTTATGTTTCTTATGAAGCCACTGTCGTCTAATACAGATGGCTTCGTTCTCGACTCACAATCTGGGATTCTGGGTTTGATTTATGTACAGTTCAATGGTTTGCTACGTTTCTTTTTACCTAATACAGCTCTTTACCTAGCAATAAATAGGTGCCCGGGAGTTAGGCAACTGCTGCATCTTGGAGAGGCAAAATAGAGAAGATTCGTGCTAGAATCATTGATTTCACCTTTCATTTTTTTTTTTTTACTTTGATTAAACTTAAACATCTATACAAATCCCTAGCTCATATATCGCCATGGGATCAAAAGGGCGTTGATAAATTTTCTTATGTTTCCCGGCTTGTTCTTGGGGCTTCAAACATAAGTCTGGAACCGGCTTGGCTAAAAGGTGCCGGGATTCTGGGTGCCCTGGAGCCTCCTGTGTTCTCTTTGGTCATGAAGGACGCCTGACTCTTGCTCCACTAGGGTAGCTACCCTGCGTGTGGTAGCCGGTCCATATCCTGCGTGTGGTGTGGGTGGACTGTCCACACCCTGCGTGTGGTGAGGGTGCCAGGTCCATACCCTGCGTGTGGTGAGGGTGCCAGGTCCATACCCTGCGTGTGGTGAGGGTGCCAGGTCCATACCCTGCGTGTGGTGAGGGTGCCAGGTCCATACCCTGCGTGTGGTGAGGGTGCCAGGTCTATACCCTGCGTGTGGTGAGGGTGCCAGGTCCATACCCTGCGTGTGGTGAGGGTGCCAGGTCCATACCCTGCATGTGGTGAGGGTGCCAGGTCCATACCCTGCGTGTGGTGAGGGTGCCAGGTCCATACTCTGCGTGTGGTGAGGGTGCCAGGTCCATACCCTGCGTGTGGTGAGGGTGCCAGGTCCATACCCTGCGTGTGGTGAGGGTGCCAGGTCCATACCCTGCGTGTGGTGAGGGTGCCAGGTCCATACCCTGCGTGTGGTGAGGGTGCCAGGTCCATACCCTGCGTGTGGTGAGGGTGCCAGGTCCATACCCTGCGTGTGGTGAGGGTGCCAGGTCCATACCCTGCGTGTGGTGAGGGTGCCAGGTCCATACCCTGCGTGTGGTGAGGGTGCCAGGTCCATACCCTGCGTGTGGTGAGGGTGCCAGGTCCATACCCTGCGTGTGGTGAGGGTGCCAGGTCCATACCCTGCGTGTGGTGAGGGTGCCAGGTCCATACCCTGCGTGTGGTGAGGGTGCCAGGTCCATACCCTGCGTGTGGTGAGGGTGCCAGGTCCATACCCTGCATGTGGTGAGGGTGCCAGGTCCATACCCTGCGTGTGGTGAGGGTGCCAGGTCCATACCCTGCATGTGGTGAGGGTGCCAGGTCCATACCCTGCGTGTGGTGAGGGTGCCAGGTCCATACCCTGCGTGTGGTGAGGGTGCCAGGTCCATACCCTGCATGTGGTGAGGGTGCCAGGTCCATACCCTGCGTGTGGTGAGGGTGCCAGGTCCATACCCTGCGTGTGGTGAGGGTGCCAGGTCCATACCCTGCGTGTGGTGAGGGTGCCAGGTCCATACCCTGCGTGTGGTGAGGGTGCCAGGTCCATACCCTGCCGCGGGTATGAAGGATGTCGCGCCGCTGCAAGCGGTCTAAATTGTGTGTTGTATGTTTTTATTGCCATTTGACTTTGTATTATTTTTACGGTATAGACTCCCGTATAGCTCGGTCGGCCGAGCGAACAGCACGTTGTACTTGTGATCCTGTGGTCCTGGGTTCGATCCCAGGCGCCGGCGAGAAACAATGGGCAGAGTTTCTTTCACCCTATGCCCCTGTTACCTAGCAGTAAAATAGGTACCTGGGTGTTAGTCAGCTGTCACGGGCTGCTTCCTGGGGGTGGAGGCCTGGTTGAGGACCGGGCCGCGGGGACACTAAAAGCCACGAAATCATCTCAAGATAACCTCAAGAAGATAACCCGTTTTGCTTCCATTCCGGAACCGGATCGACAGGGTGCATACGTTGCCAAACTTGTCAAAAATTTTTGAAAAACTAATCTATAAGCAGCTTTACTCATATCTAGCCAAACTCAATATACTTAGCCCTTGCCAATATGGCTTCAGACCCAAAAAAAGCACTAACGATGCACTTATTAGTATGCTTAACTCGATTCATACAGCTCTTGATAAAAATGAGTTCCCTGTTGGGTTGTTTGTGGACCTGCGTAAAGCTTTTGACACTGTCAACCACCAAAACTTTCTTCTTAAATTACATCATTATGGAGTCAGAGGACACTCCCTACAATACCTCAAATCCTACCTTACTGACAGGCTCCAATATGTTTCTGTGAATAATACAATTTCTCCTACCCTACCCATCAACATTGGTGTTCCCCAGGGCAGCATACTTGGCCCTCTCCTCTTTCTCATCTACATTAATGACCTTCCAAATGCCTCCCAACACCTCAAACCAATTCTATTTGCTGACGACACAACCTTCATTTACTCCAGTCCTGATCCCCTTGCTCTAAATGCCACAGTAAATACTGAGCTAAATAAAGTCCATCTGTGGCTAACTGCCAACAAACTCACCCTTAACATTGACAAAACCTTTTATATTCTGTTTGGCAATAAATCCTCTAATCAAATAAATCTCAAAATAAACAATACCCAAATTTGTAACAAATTAGATGGCAAATTCCTTGGCATTCTCATTGACCACAAGCTTAATTTCCAGGGACACATTCTAAGCATATCAAAAAAAGTTTCAAAAACTGTGGGCATTCTTTCTAAGATCAGATATTATGTACCACGCCCTGCCCTGGTGACTCTCTATTACTCCCTTATCTATCCATATCTCAACTATGGTATTTGTGCTTGGGGCTCTACTACCCAAAATCACTTACGTCCTCTAATTACTCAACACAAAGCTGCTATTAGGACAATATCCAATTCTGGCCCCAGACATCACTCGGTACCCCTACTTAAATCTCTGAATATGTTAGACATTAAGTCACTGCACATCTATTTCAGTCGTCGGCCTAATCTTTACTAACATCATCTTATGAATTACCTGAATATACCTGATGAACATTATCTCTCTAGTGTCCTCGATGAGGACATTAATCTGACAGCTTGCCGAAGGTCCTCCTTATTTGTCCTAATGACTTGATCGAGCTGAACTTTGAACTGCAGTAGTGTTTAGGCATTTAACGGCTTCGACAGGTAAGCAGTTCCATGGGTCCATAACCATATGGGTGAAAAAGCATGTTTTCTGTCCTACATTGTAGCTTGTTGAGTTTGAAACTGTTGCTCCTTGTATGTGTTACATCTGGCCTTATAAAGAAATTGCCTGTATCAATATCCTCCAAATTGTTCGGTATTCTAAGAGTTTCGATGAGATCGACCGTCATGTCTGGTTTGCAGTGTTGTCGGGCTTGTGGCCCTCAGCCGTTCCTGCTGTAGCGAGTAATCCTTATACTCGCTCCATTATCTCATTATCTTAATGGCATAACTAATTACACAAGCTATAATTCTATCCCTATTTACAGGTAACGGTTTTTCCACCCTCCTATCTTACTGTGAGGTGTAGTCACCGTATTTAAGCAAGCGATTTGAGAATAGCAAACCCTTACGGGCTATTCATGCCCGTGCCACCTCTTGGGTGGCTTAATCTTTATCAATCGAATAGCAAACCCTCCACAGATCTCCAGTATCAGCTCCTGATACTGGTAATGGCTTAAAATGGCCACCACTTACGGGCTATTTATGCCCGTGCCACCTTTTGGGTTGCTTCATCTTCATCTTAACACATTAACAAGGGAGACATCTCCCGTCACGCAGGGTGCATTCGCACCTCCACAGATCTCCAGTATCAGCTCTTGATACTGGTAATGGCTTAAAAGGGCCACCACTTACGGGCTATTCATGCCCGTGCCACCTTTTGGGTGGCTTAATCTTCATCAATCAATCAATCAAGAAGATATGCCACACTTGGTCCGGGAGACATCTCCCGTCACGCAGGGTGCAGTTGCGCCTCCACAGATCTCCAGTATCATCTTTTGATACTGGTAATGGCTCGAAACGGCCACCACTTACGGGCTATTCATGCCCGTGCCACCTTTTAGGTAGCTTAATCTTCATCAATCATCAATCGAATAGCAAACCACGGGAGACATCTCCCGTCACGCAGGGTGCAGTCGCACCTCCACAGATATCCTGTATCATCTATTGATACTGGTAATGGCTCAAATGGGCCACCACTTACGGGCTATTCATGCCCGTGCCACCTTTTGGGTGGCTTAATCTTCATCAATCAATCGAATAGCAAACCAGTACAATCTCCAGTCAAGAATGTAGCACTTGGCGTAGGCAGTTCTAATCGACACAGAGCAGACAGCAGACTACGACCTCATCCAGCTACAACGCTCTCCCACATAGAGCTCCGCGACTCCGGCCACACTCAGCTCTCTGCTCTGCTCCAGGCTTCGTCTCAACGTCTACGACACTGCTGTATCCAGGACTACTAAATAAATATGAAACTCACTAACTAAACACTGTGTATCTAATCAACCCAACAGCGTAACTAATCGTACGTTACACTGGTATGGGAGTCGACCTAGTTCTGGAATGATTTTTGTTACCCGGTGTTAAACTTTCTCCAAGGCAGAAATGTCCTTTCTGAAGATGAGGTCTCCATGTTTAGATACAATAATCCAAGTACTCACCTAGTTGTGCTTTGGCTCTTTGGTCCTACCTCTCAACTGTCTATCAACTGGTATACAGATTCTTGAGCCTATTGGGCTCTATCAAATCTGCATTTGAAACTGTGAATGAAGTCTTCCTGCACCACATCACTGCCTAATGCATTCCATTGTTAACTACTCTGACACTGAACAAATTCTTTCTTTCTTGGGCGCACTAGAAATTTTGTATTTATTTATACATTCTTACAAGAATGTAAGAATGTTCCTACATCCTTGTACAGCCACTAGCACGCATAGCGTTTCGGGAAAGTCCTTAATCCTAATTTTCCCCCGGAATACGACCCACCAAATCGTTGAACAGGTACCCATTCACTGCTGGGTGAACACAGTCTAAGGATTGGCGCTAAGTAAATCCTCCTCGGCCAGGATGTGAACCCTGGCTAAAGCGCTCGCGCAACGCCAGGCGAGTGTGTTACCACTTTGCCATGGGGACTGCAATGAATATTCAGTTGAATAACTACCTTCTTGTTCTTAGTCAAAGGTTTGTTTGAATATTCTTAAGGTATGGTTGGCCTTCTTTTTTTCTCTTTTTTCACTGCAGCTCTCACTTTAGCAACTTTCAGTGGTTGGCGGATTCTGAATCAAGGTTTTCTTCATCAATCTGCTGCAATAAAATGTTGTTGATTTGCTGGTTGTTATGTGTATTGTTATAATCCACCAGTATGTTGGATTATAACAACAATACAACAGTGTCAAGGTCTTGCTTCTGTTCGCCTAGCAGTAAATAGGTACCTCTTTACAAAAAAATATGGCATCCTTTGACAAACTCTCGGCTTACTGTCCCTATCGAGGCCACTAGATAGATGGTGGACCTCAGATGATTGCAGGTAAATATACACAAGCTTCCTGCCTAAGAATTAAAATAGTTAGGAATAGCAAGATAACCATTTTCTGTGTTAGTGGCGACGGTGGCGCCGCGGACGGCATGTGGTTTGTATTGGTCTGGCCCACGAGGACGCCAGCTGTGTTATGGGGGGAGTAAAGTGAGGAGTTATTAGTGTTTCATTACGTTGATAGTTAGACGTTGTCAGTGGATATGGGTAGAAAGGGCAACTTTGAGGAGAAGGTTAAGAAGGGACCAGGACGGAAGGCCAAGAAACAGCAGAATCCTGTGTTTGGCTTCAAGCTCAATGGTGAGTTTAAAAGTTGTTCGTGTTATTATGGTTCCCATTATCAGGGCCAAGAATCTTACTTAACTCAACCTAAGGCTGATCTTACCCATGACACTCACAAGTGTGGCCTAACTCTAAGGTACCTATTTTTTGCTAGTTTGACAAGGGGCATTAGTAAATATACCACATGTCTTCCCGGCACTAACCCAAGGCTGTTTAGTTGTGAAGAAGTTGTGCTAATCACTTGACCATATCTGAAAAAGTTGAAATGAATTTTGAGGACCAACTTTAAAATAATTCTAGCTAAGAATGTGGCTAGATAACCTTAGATATAGGCAGTAGACTCCCAAAAGTTAAAGCTTGTACACAGTACTGGTATATATCTAAAATAAAAAATTCTTTAATTTTGCTAGGTTTGGGATTTTAAAGGTTAGTGATGGTACAGAATGTTATAGTTTTTGACAGGTCTTGAACCCTAAATATTAGTCCATGGCATACTGTGTAATTTCAATTCAGTGCCCCATAGGCCTATATTTAATGTATGCATTATCTATTTGTTACAGCCTCACATAGCCAGTAACCGGATTCTTTACTTATCAAAGTGTATATGTGTCAAACTATTGCCTCCTCTTACTCGATCCTATCCTGAGTCATAGGGAAGTTATTAAGAACTGGCAGTAATAATTAATCTAAAGGGAAAAGGGGGTAAACAACACTAAACAAAACCTTCACCAAGTGTATATATATTATATATATATATATATATATATATATATATATATATATATATATAGATATATAGATATATAGATATATAGATATATATATATATATATATATATATATATATATAGATATATATAGATATATATATATATATATATATATATATATATATATATATATATATATATATATATAGATATATAGATATATAGATATATATATATATATATTCTTAACTATATATATATATATATACATGACATAACACTGCAGGTCTGACTTTCACACTGGACACTTTAAAACTTCTGCAATATTCTTTCCTGGCGAGTCCACTTCTATCTACTATGCTACACCACCCAAGGTACCCTTCCTGAGTCTGTCTTCTATGGTCCACACGCCGGCCAGTTCATCTTTCTCAGTAAATCATGGGCCAGTCTTACACAGTATCGTCATGTTGCCAAAACACCACTTCTACTCCAGCAACAGAGCTTTAAAAATTATGTGATGCTGATCTGTTTGTTTACCGTATGTCCTGCAGAAGCCTGTCTAGGCTGCTCAGTTTTGTATGAGATTTGTCTTGGAAATGGGATGCCAGTAAAGCATCGTACTCATGTGAGAGGTGTGCCATTACTCTTTTGTGGCCTATTAACTTATTCTGCTAACGTTTTTTGACAGAGCTGGATGGGGAAGAAAAGAAGTTGAGTAGACGACAAAAGGTACGCGCCACAAAACGAACCAATGAGACCAGTAAAGTTGTGCAACCAGCAAAGAAACTCAAGAAGACTTTGCCTCCACCAGAAGGTATAATAATTATTAATTTTAAGGTCATGCACAGCTTCATCCAAGCTTCACATCACCAGATGTGAGAAAACAAGTTCTGGTTACAATATGCAAGTTAATATAGGTTGATAGGGACATTTTTGTGAACACATTATGATGTAAGAGCTGGTAATGTACAGAAAGAGAGCATATCAGTATGTGAGTGTTTTTAACAATTTTATTAAAACTTTGTACACCAGAGAATGAGTTGGACAGTGAAGGTGAATACCAAGACAGTTCTGATGAGATGGAGGAAGGAAGCCCCACAGTGAAGGACACTAAACAACCACAAAATAAGACCAAATTTGCACTCTTTGAAAATGACGATGAGAGTGCAGAAGACACTGAGGAAGGTGATGACAGCGATGAGAGCGAGGGTGATGATGACAGAGATAATTATGGTGACGATGATGATGATGATGGTGATGGTGACATTGAAAAATCATCAAAAAAGCTGGAAAAAAAAGAGAAGGCAAAAATGTAAGTGTAGTTAACAAATCCTATATTCAAAGATTTTATGATTTCATTCAGCTTCATTACTACAGCAAAGTCCTCTTAGTTCTGTTAACCTTTCCTAATTATTGTTTTAATGTTTAAGTGATATAATTCCTGTTTTAAGTCAAGATAATTAATTCCATATCTTTTGACATCTGTGGTTAGAAAATAACCAGTTAAGTACAACTACAATTTTGTGTAAACATCATAAACTATAACAGTAGATAGAGCACGTCTGGTTTTCATATTTTCAGACTGTCAATTTATATATGTAAACATTTGAATTGTACAATATACATTCCCAAGCATTTTATTGGCAAACTCATACCTGTAATTACAGTGGTCCCCCTCCGTTTACGAATTTAATCCATTCCCAGAGACAGCTCGTAACCCGAAGATTCACAACCCGAAACAAGTTTTCTCATAAGAAATAATGTAAATTGACTTAATCCGTTCCACACTCCCAAAAATATTAACTTCGAAATACATTTCATGCATAATACACACAAATATTTAGTACTATAATATGTAAAAGTTATAGCTTACCTTTATTGATGACTCTTGTTGGCGTATGGAAAATGGTGAGGAGGGAGGAAGGAGGTGTTAGTATTTGGAAGGGAGTTTCCCTTCCATTATAACATCAGGCACTGATGACTTCTCTGGGGTACTCTCTCCTACGTATTGCAGGCATACCGCTAGGAACTGGTTGTAGCTCATTGCTTGCTTGTCTTACTAAGAATCTGTCTAGAGATGTTTGTTTTTCCCTACATGTTAACACTTGTCTGTAGTGAGACATCACATTGTCATTAATAAGGTCAATGCAACAGCCTGCTAGAGTCTTTCCAGTAAAACTTTGCATTTCCTCCCATACAGCATACATTTTCTTAATGAAGAAGGGACATTCTCTACTGCCTCCTCCTCTCCTGAAGATTTGTTGTACTGCTTAACTAGTTCCATTACCATTCTCTAGTACCATTTTCATGTTAACAAATGATCTTGTTTTTCATCTATGGTCATCTTTACATGTGTTTTCTTAGGTTGAAAATTACCATTGACTATCTTGGGATCCATGGTGTGATATATATAACAATTACTTTTATGTTCAGAAACAAAAAAAAGCAGAAAAACAATGAAATTCTTTACATAGAATTCAAGCGCAATTGTCACTAACCAGGAGCCACTGGTAAACTGAAGCGCAGGCGACCTTGCCACCAGGAACCACGTGCTCGGTAGACCCATACGTGTATCAACAAACTCGTAACTCGAGGCAAAGCTTGTAAACTGATTAAAATTTTACTAAGAAATTTGGCTTGTAACCCGAAAAATTCGTAAAGAGGGGCATTTGTAAGCCTAGGTGTCACTGGACAGTGGAATCTTGATTAGGTGAATCTGCAGTTGGACTTTTTGTAATTATTTGTTTTTGGGCATTTTGGATTTTTTTTTTAGGGCAAATGGTAAGGGCACAATATTGCCCCAAAAAAATAAAATAGGGGCCTTGGGGAAGCCATGGAACATATTTAACCCTTAAACTGCGCATGGTTTATATATACGCCCAGAGTAACATGTCTCACTGTGCGCATGGTTTATATATACGCCCAGAGTAACATGTCTCACTGTGCGCATGGCGTATACTGTTAATACGACATTGGGTGCCGGGCACGATTCAAATGACCCAGGGCTACATGGGGTTCACATCAGCTTCCTCAGGGCTCTTGTAAACAGACACCATGTTTAAAAAAAATCATTGGTAATATTCTCTGTTGTGAGAGCCACAGTACTGTGGGAGCAACTAAGGCTTGCGCACGCAGCATGAGCTAACAGCATTGCTGTTCAGCTTGTGACCACAGCATCGCCTAAAAATGTCAAAATAAATATGTAACTGCTATTATTTAGCAATGACAGTATTACAGATGACCCCTGACTGTGATAAAAATGACCAGGATTGTGATAATAGCAAGACTGTTGTGATAATTAACGCTATGTGGGAGGAGTAATGCTGAGGGAGGGAGGAAGATAGCGTCATTTACTGTGTGGCCACCTGTTATTGTCTGCATTCGCCATACTAGCTCAGTGGTTCTCTATGGTGAACACAAATGTAGATTCTTATATATAATGTGTGTATTAGTGTAATAATAGCAAAAGGATTATGTTGGGAGGAGCCATTTGGGTTACGGAGGTGGCGTCGTCTGCATGACTTGTCTAGCTGCGTAGAGGGTGGCCACTGTGCTCTTTCTCTTTGGGCACCCTATATATAATGTGTGTATACAATGTAATAACACCACAAACAGTATTGTTGGGGGAGAATTTTAGTGCGTCTGACCTTGAATGAGTAAGGGAGGCAGCTGCCAGCTGACTGTGTGTGTGTAGTGATGTCTCAGTGCCTGAACTAACTATAACAGCTTAGTTGTACAGTTGTGGTGAACAAAACATGTAGATACTTATATATAATCAGTGTATATAGTGTAATAACAGCAAAACTATTTGTTTATTGTTTTATGAACATAATAATTGAATCACTAATATGCACACCATACTTTTTGAGTATAGCGATGATTCACCCCTTTTATTATATAAATCTATCACTACACACTATTAAATAATATTACTGCAAAAAAACTAAGAAAACATAAAAAACATCAATCAGACACATTGAAATAATTATTCGTTTGCCTTGTTCGGGTTGAATGTAGACACAGTAGTCGCTTCTGTATATATTTATTGAGTGAGGCAAACAGGTGTATAACTGGCCAGCCGAGGTCCACCTACTCTGGGTCTGTGAGGATAACTGAGGCTGCTGGGAGCATGCCTGATGCTCCTCTGTCTGGCATGACGTCAGAGGCCTACTTGCCTGTGATTGGTTACATTTCAACTGACAGAATTTGAGTATAACACCGCTCGGACACGCTACCAAGTCGACGTCCCTTGTCGACAAGCTCTGGCTAGCTTGAATTGGTTAGCGGATGGCCTTGGGGGTTTCCCGACGACATGGAGTGAACATTCTGAGCTCCAGCATTCTGTGACTGAGCATTATAATTTGAAGTTGCATTATAGCTGGGCTGGGAGTTGTAATTACGAGAGTTCTGATAATGTCTTGGACGCTGTGAGCCTCGCCAAGACTGACCATGGGAGTTACGAGGTGGAGATGTCCTTTGCCTAGCTCTACAATCCGCAGTGTGGTGACCAACTTGTTTATGGTACGTGCAATATGGAAGCCTAGAATGATTAGATTGATGAGGGGGCCGAGAGAATTGTCTAGGAGGTGATGATCTAGGGGCGGACCAACAGTCCCTTGCAAGGTGGTTACTCTTACCACAATGCCAACATGAGGGAGTGGATGGTTGTGGACTATGGCGTTTCGGCATTTTATGAGGCGGCGAATTTGACTGGGGGCTACGAGCATGGGTACGCTTCTGCGACCAAGAGTTTTGAGAATTTGTGGGAGGATGCTGAGAACTTGTAACTACATTTACAGCATCAGAGGGTGGCAACAGTTGAGCACTTCGGGGAGCTAGTTTATCGGCGGCATTGTTAATAGCCTCAAACACTTCACCAATTTCATGTTTAACACCAAAATTTTGTTGCTCAACGATTGGTTTTGTATGCTCGGGGGCAAAATGCATTAAAGTACCAAATGCTATCATTTTGGCCATAGCCTCAGGGGACAGATTATTGTCTTTATCTAACCAAGTTGAATTATTCATAGCAGAAACTAAGGCATACAGATACTGATCGAGACGGCTAGTAAACGCATTAAACGATTCACCAGGCTGCATGGTGGCATTGGCAATTTTCTTGACTAACCTATATGGGTCAAGGTCTCCTTTATTAACAAAGCGACGGCGAAAGAAATCCTTAAATTCAGGCCAAGACTGGAGGCTAACAATGGCTTTCTCATCAACAACAAAACGTGCATCACCTTTGGTTGTGTCCACGGCTGACCGTGCAATTGCTAAGTATTCGGCATCAGTAGGCTTAGAAAAACGTGCAACTGTTTTCGCTTCAACCTTACTAAACCATGATTCTAATAAACGCGATTCCCCAGCAAAAAGAGGAATAGCCATTTCCTGAGCTGATCTCTGGCCATTGGGACAAGCAACTGTTCCCATTGATTCTGAAGGGGTTTCAACAGTGGTAGGCATTGTCACAGCCGTGGAAGTAATATTTGAACGCAGATTATAATTAAGTGCACCTGGCATCAGAAATAGTATACACAAAATAAACACAAAAAAATATCAACTTGGCTAAAGTAAAAATGGCAGAAATAAAATTATTAAATTGGGCTAGGCAAGAAAATAATTAAGAACAAGCAAATTGTAAACTAAATTTAGCAATCTTTCATTAAAAAAATGACTGGAATTAGATGTATGTAAATTAATTAAACCAGACTAAGCACAGCAATTGAGAATAAAAACTGGGAAATGCAATTGCAAAATTTCATTAAAAAGATTCAACACAACAAGTGGCAATGCAAGAAATATGGATGTAGCACATAAACTGGACACAGGAATGTATATAACTCCTATGGTAAAAGTTTAAATTAAAATGCTTAAAGGATAAATTTCAAGTTAGGTCTGGAGAAATATAAAAAAAATTTCTATGTTCTATTGTCTATGGAAATCTCAAAAACAAATTTCTTTTATGCAAAAATAAACTGCTAGAACAATTATTTCTTACTTCTCTCACCTTTGAATTCAGTAATGACACTAGTAACAATTAATGAATAATGGAATCATATGCAGGGAATATTGAAATGTCTCAGAGAAACTGTGGGCCTCTGGAGTACTAAACCGGCTCCAATATTTAACAAGTCACTGAATGGTTAATTCACAGGATATTATGGGAATTATTACATAAGTCACTTTTTAACACTTGGCACGCTGTTCTCAACTAGCAATTACTTATCTCAGGGTTGTAATTTATGAGGATCACCAGTAGCCAAAGAAGGAGAAGCGTCGTGAAGATCGGAAGAGGCCCATGTGAGGCGTGTTTACAAACTGGATGCGACGGCAGCGCTCCTGGCGGCGGTGGCGCGAGACTCAGGGACCCCACACTGTTCACGCTAGAAGCACGAAGATAAATTCTGACGACGACAATATTGCGACGATGGAATAACCAGTTGATACTTGCGACGATGGCTGACGACGATTGCAGTAGCTTGCACCCTCACGAAGCTTGATACTGTCAGCTTGGGTGGCGGTGGTGGTGGTGGTGGGTGTAATAGGTGGTTCCCACGTGGTGGCGCGAGGTTCAAAAATGGCTGGCGCGGGAAGCTTCCTTCCTCCTCACTGATGAGTGAGCGTTCTCACAGGAAAATATTGACCCTTACTTCTGAAACGTTGGCCTGGAGTAGTGGTTGATGGCAGGACCCCGGTCTGGCACAATATTTGATGCGTGGGTGGCAGGATGGCGGCTTATGGCGGTGGCGGTGGCGGCGGTTTTGGCTGGAACACGAGGCGATGCTGGGTACTGGAACTTTTGCTTCCAGAAAAAAATTTCTGGATCCCACTGCTGCTACCAGTATTCGTTTGCCTTGTTCGGGTTGAATGTAGACACAGTAGTCGCTTCTGTATATATTTATTGAGTGAGGCAAACAGGTGTATAACTGGCCAGCCGAGGTCCACCTACTCTGGGTCTGTGAGGATAACTGAGGCTGCTGGGAGCATGCCTGATGCTCCTCTGTCTGGCATGACGTCAGAGGCCTACTTGCCTGTGATTGGTTACATTTCAACTGACAGAATTTGAGTATAACATAATTAGGTAATAATATCTTTGTGGCAACTCCCACCTGACAGCTCGAGTGACGCTGACCGCCTCTGACGATTGCTCTGTCAACGCCCACATTTTGCCAGACTTCCTTGGGCCTATTGCGGCCAAAATATGTCACTACGCTTTTTTTTTTTTGTATTTTTTTCCCTGTGCTCAGGGAACACAAATTATTAACATTTTTAGAAGACGAAAAAAAAATTTAGAATTTTTTTTCTTGTGCACAGGGGTGTAAATCTCCTCAGGACCCCTTAGCAGCTTAAGGGTAAAACCAAATTCTATGGCTCATTTTAATTTTGAGATTCCCTTAGTTTTTGCTCATTAACACTTTCGCTCGGGGATGACGCAGCATTGCGTCATCCGTTTACTGGCGGTAATGCCGGGGATGACGCAGCATTGCGTCATCCACTTTAAAAATTCGCCAAAAATCAGGTTTTTATCCGATTTTTTGGGGACTGGTTTTAAAATGTGCGCCGATGTCTTCCCATTTTCTTTGTTGAGCCTCGTCGCCCTCAGGCTGCTTGGCACACGCCGTGGGCCCATTGTCTTTGCTCCACTGTTGTGACCAATGTCGCTTCCCCTGGCATCTCAAACGTGTGAACATTTCGGCTATTTTCCGTGGCTATATTTCTTACTGCGGCTTTAGAAACTATCTACGCTTACTCCACGATGGATAGTAATCATGAACAAGGCCCTTCCAGGAAGAAAATTGCGAAAGAAAGGCTTGAAAAGGGTAGGAATTGGGAGTGTAGCAGGAAAGCCTCTGAGCACTCACTCACGGCTAACACGTGGCCCGTCTTCAACTCGTCGGCGGTTGGAGCGTGACCAGGTTTTTTTTTTATATGCTAATGTTCCTCTAGAGAATTTTATTACGAACCCATTGAGACCAAAATGAAAGACCTAGGACAAAAATTGAGGTGACCAGAGTGAAAATAGTGAAAACATTTTATCCCGTTTGCGCGCTCCCGGGTAACTCGTTCGCACTTTCTCTGTTTGCTGCGGGTAATTAGCCGGGCTTTTGGAGTTTATATGCATTTAGTGCTGTAGAGAATTTTATTGCGAACACAATGATACCAAATTTAATCTTGTAGAAGGAGAATTGAGGTGACAAAGTTGAAGAGAGTATACACTTTTCGGAATTAACGCGCGCTTCCGTGACACTCTGGGGCCCATATCGCCCTGTCGAGGGGTGGCGCGCGGGGTGAGCGAAAGTGTTAATATAGGTCCATTTTCTTTTGAAAATTAGATTTCAAGACTAGGGCATAAGAAATATGCTAGATGTAGTTAAATCTCTTTGCAGACAGGTTTTCTTTGTCGCCGTCCATTTTATGACAGGTTGAAATTAAAATTTTGCTTAGTGAAATCAGCCCATAGGACATGGGAAATATTAGAGAAACTTCCGACAATGCCGTAGTGCTTGAATGAAGGTGAAGGAAAGACCCAATACAGTATATGTGTATGTATTAAAAACCAAATTTTTGGATGTCGTCTATATCCTTTCGTAGGTAATGTATATAATGTTCATATTGTATATAATATTATATACAGTACCTTGAGAAAGAATGTAGGCTACATCTGAATATTTGTTTTTTAATTGCACACACATTGGGGTCTTTCCTAGACCTTCAAATGTAACTGTTAATATGACTCCAATCATCTTTATAAAGATTTTTGTTCATGGACTCGATATTACAAGAAATAGTTGGAGCCTTGGGGAAGCTATTGAGGATACATAGAACCAAATTCTATGGATTATTTTAATTTAGAGTTGGCAGGGTTTTCAATGACTGGTATGGCTCTGATACCTTTGAAAATTAGTTGAGAAACTGGAGATGTGAGTTGTTCATTTGGTAGTTGTCTGTTGTACTATAGGTTGAAATAAAAAAAAAAAAATCAGAGTGAAATTAGCCCATATGGCATGGGAATGCATCCTAGGTTGCAACTAATCCCTTGCTGTAACAAATTGGAGTTGGTCTTGTATACTTCATTGAATTAAGGTTGTACAGTACTGTACTTTGCCTTGTAAATTAACACACTAGTAAAGATTAAGCAGTTGAACCATCTTGTAGAATACCCATTATAAAGAGACATTCTTTAGTGCTGCAGGTGATGCATACCTGGAGGAGTCGGCAGCAAATATTGGAGTGCAGATTCCCAGCCTTGAGGAAGTGCAAAAGGATCTTGAAGAATCGGCAGACTTGGCCAATATCAACAGTCGAATCAAGGACACAGCATTTATACTGGCTGATTTTAAGCAAGTTGTTCCTCTTACAATACACAATTTTTGTTCTATAATGGCTTAAGAATGATCTATATTAAACATAATTATTCCACTTTCATGCATCATTTAAGAGGCGTTTTTTCTCCAGTCTTATGAATGTGTTAAAGTCTTAAGTGAGAGTTTTATTGTAAATTACTTTTTCCCATTTTACAAGTTTCATCCTGTAAACAGTATTAAAGACAAAGCTGCAAATGTAATACAGTATTGCCTAAATACTGGTGGTTATTATGTGTTGTGCCTTGACATTTATAATTTAGTTTTGAATTTACAGTAAACGGCGCGAAAAAGGACGGAGTCGCTCAGAATACTTACAAATCTTTGTGAATGACCTCTCTACATATTACTCTTACAATGTCTACTTGATGGAGAAGCTCTTGGATATGTTTGGTCCTACAGAAGTTATTGAGTTTTTAGAAGCCAATGAATTGCCCAGACCTGTGACTGTTCGCACCAATACCCTTAAGGTCAGCTTTCCCTTCCTTGATAATTTTATCTTCCAATTTACTTCTTGTTCTGAGAAACACAATTGCTAAAAATGGTATTAAATCTTTACTATTTGCACAGTCAACTGTCTCAACCATCATGCCAGTTTCCCACTAATTGCATGTTTAATGATAATAGAGAATCACTGTTGATTATACTGTATACTGTTTCTTTGGTTCTAGGTTTTCTTTGCCACTGTCGACTTCAGTGTGAACGTCATGCTAATCTTAACATTTTAATATAAAGGAATATGGTATGTTTGTTTTTATGGACTGATAACCATCATTCATTTTACAATTTTACAAGACTGGCATTTGCTTCCTTCCTGCCATTACTGTACCATAAGTTCTGGCGAAGGAAGACTTGCATAAATTGTTGTCATTGTACAATGTAATGCCATCGATGTCTTAACTACTATCTCAGACAGTCCGTGCGAGAGCTATTGGACATGTTAACATTTGTGCCAATGTACATTTATTTCAATTGTTAAACTGTTTTCAGTCAAATTATTTGAGTTCAAATGGATGACGTTGGACTGTGTATAGAGTACAGTACTGTCTGAGTGAAACATGTTTCTTAAAAAAATAGCAACTCGTCAATGACAAGTGTTCTCTGATAATCCATTCTCCTGTTTAGATATAGTATTATAGTCCAAAAAAATAAAGCTAAAACACAAACTAAAATAATCTTGGGCGTAGTATAACATACACATACTATATTAGGAATGAGAAAGCATGTATTAGGCCTAGGAAGGTAGCATGAATTAGGCCTAGAAAGGTTATGTAAACTTAAGTTTACTTTGCAACATCAATGCTAAAACTTTTACAGTTTGTCCAAATTCAATACTGTAATACCAATTTATACTTTCTAATTGCCTTTTATATCACTATATGTACGATGGTCCTTATCGTTACTATAAGTGCTACCTAAACTGGAGGATGGGCTCTCTTATGATGGTGTGTAAAAGCACTTGGTATTTAGGTTAATGAGACTATGCCTAATTTTCAACAGGTGCTCATTAGCATCAGAATGCCCATTATACATACAAAGTGCAGAACTTTAAAAGAACAAGAAAAAATCAAAATGTTTATTTGGTAAATACAGTAGACAACTTTGTTTTTTCAATAATCTTTATTATACTTCTTTGAATGCAATATCATTAGTACTGTACTTTGAAATGCATGCAATAGATACTATGAAATCTTCATAGATATGTGTCTGCACCATTATATATGTATGTGGAGGTAATTTTTCAGTGTCTAGCATATACAGTACAACCTCGATTCGACATACTGTACCCCGATTTGGCGAATTTCCTGGTAGGTCACACACTTTTCAGGTCAGATTTGTTCGCCCGTTTCGACGTAATCTGGTTCGCCGAAGCGGGGGATGTGCGGATTTGCTGATGATGTTGGGACAGAGTTCACAAGAGTGGTGGAAAACTTTCCCATTCTATCACGGGTTATAATTAATAATTCCTTCATGTACAAGTTGGATCACACAAGTGGACCACATAACAAGTGAATCATATTAACCAAGCACCAGGCAGACTGGTCCACACGCCAAGTGAACCATATTAATTAAATCAAACACCAGCCAGAGTGGTCCACAAAAACTGAACCATATTAACCAAACACCAGCCAGTGACCACACAGGTGAATGACTGAGTTTTCATGATTTTCGTTCACTGATTTGTGGCACACGTATCTTTGTAAATTAATCTAAAGACTGAAGCGTGAAAAGCTAGCTACACATGTTGAAATCTTAGACATTTTCTGTGATGAAACAAGATGAGTGAAGGTGGACAGATAAGGGAATACAGTATTGTTATAAACCTCACTTGGTTTTCCTTCATCTGTGTTGTCATAGTTCAGTGACCCAAGACTTTGAAAGTTTCAGATTAATAAATCATTTCTAAAACCGGTGTTTTAATAGCTCTTTATTATCGTAATTATATTTCTAAACTAAACCAAAAAAATATACTGTAAATAATTTCTCAAATAGTAGATGTCTGTTATTGGCTCTAGCTTTCAAAACAACCCGAGCACAGGTGGACTGGTCCATTCCCTGTACACACAGCACCATGTGCTTTTCGTTCGCATTCGTCGCTGCAGTTCGGTGACCTACAGCCTCGAAATAATAAAATTAATAAATCATTTCTAAAATAAGTATTTTTATAGCTCTTATTATCCTAGTAATGTTGCTAAACTAAATACATATCTCAAAAAAATGTAATATGATATAAATCTAATATTTGAGAGAAATTTGTTACTGGATCTGGCTTAAACTTCAGCCTACTGTAGGATGTATAAACTTAGTTCCTCGGTGTTAGCCGCCTATCCGCCTGCCCAAAAACCAGCCTAAATAGCCACACATCTACCTGCCCAAATCTACCTACCCCGCTCGAATAGCTGCTAGCCCAAATAGCTGCCCACCCACACCTCTTACTCATCCACCTTCCCAAATCCAACCACCCCGCCTGAATAGCCGCCCTACCACACAGCCTGCCCATCCACCTGCCTAAATCCAGCCATCCTGCCTGAATAGCTGCCCACATGGCTGCCCAAGCCCCACCCACACTGCGCGCCTAAATAGCCGCTCATCTGCTTGCTCAAACCCACCCAACCCACCTACCCACCAGTCGTCCACTAATCCATCCATGATGATGTGAGTAATGTTCAAAGATGAACATTCCAAATTTTTGAGCTAGTGAAGAATGGTTGGAAAGATTTAAGAATAGGCATAATATTAAGAACAGGAAAATTGCCAGAGAATCATTAAGCAGCTGAAACCAAGACGGCAGCAGCAAGCACCAGTAAAGCTGATGCAAACATCTAGAACATCGTGTGTGGAGTGTACAGTTATAACAAGTGTTAAATCTAAGTACAGTGGAACCTCGAATAATGAATTTAATCAGTTCCGGCACCAAGTTCATTATGTGAAACGCTCGTTTTTCAAAACGAATTTCCCCATTTAAAATAATGGAAATCAAATTAATCCGTTCTACCACCGAAAAACATCAATATGATATTCAAAGTTTTAAATAATAGAGCAGCCAACCTTACATACACTGAACAAACCTTTATGACATTTTTCTTCAAATTTGTTCAATTTTTTTTCATTTTTTTTTTTATAACAAAAGGTTTGCTCGATGTTTGTTAGGTAGGCTGCTCCATGTTTCTTTAAAAAAACAAAAACAAAAAATAAATCAAAAGTTGAAGCAGTTTGAAAAATGGACAAATGCCATCAAGGTTCATTCAGTGTTTGTCAGGTAGGCTGCTCCATTATGACAATCTGTCTTTGTTTCAAATGTGTTCCATTAGTTTTGTATTTTGTATTTATTTCTCAATAATGGAGCAGCCTACCCAACAAACACTGAACAAACCTGTATGGCATTTGTCCATTTTTCATTTTTTTTTTTTAAGAAACCTGGAGCAGCCTACCTGACCAACACCAAATGAATCTTTGGGACATTTGTTTATTTTTAAAATTTCATTTCTTTTTTCTACAAAAAAGTCTGCTCTGCAACATCACAGCAGTCACCCCTTTACATCCAAGCATCATTAGCACCTTTAAACAAAAAAAAAAAATAATAATTTATTTGCATCGTCGGAGGTGTCCGAGAATGTGCGAGAAGCAGCGCGACCCCATCATTGGGTATTGTCGTAATTCAAACGAGCGCTCGCCAAACGAGACGAATTGTTGGCGATCGGGGCGCTCGTTACCCAAATTACTCGCTAACTGAGACGCACGTCACTTGAGGTTCTACTGTACATAGTGTTAAAATTAAAGTTGCTGTAATTTTTAGTGTACTGTATAATAAATAGTTTTCATAAACTGTATTGAAGTACAGTACTTAACATACAGCAGAACTATATAATACAGTGCTAACTGCATAATACAGTACTGTACCTATTTGCTGTACTGTATTCACAAGTCTATGAGAATTCAGGATGGGCATACTACAACAATGAGGTAAATAACACAGTATTTTTTATTATAGTAGTAATATATAGGTACAGTATATAATATGATAATGCATTTTTATTGTGTACAAGAAAAAAAGACTGACACAAAAGCCTCCTGAAGATCACCTGTTGTAACGAATCCAACCCTGCATCCAGTTGAATCCAAACCCTGGTCTCATATAGTGCGCTGAATTGAGGTTGTACTGACAGCAAATGGGCAGGCTTGTGTGCACTGAGATTTGTCTGTGCACATACATATGTGTGTGTACCTTGAAGTATGTACAGTACTGTACATACATATTATACTAATGCTAAAATTCATTATATATACCTGTACCATACTGGGTAGATTGTTTTATATTACTGTATATGTATCCTGCATTTTTGGAATACTGTTTACTGTATTACTCAGTGCTGTATACTGTTGATCTCAACAGACTCGTCGAAAGGTCCTGGCTGCAGCTTTGATTGCCCGAGGAATTGATGTGGACATAATTAATTGGTCGAAGGTGGGGCTGATAGTAATGCGTACACCAGGCAATGTGACCCTCGGTGCCACTCCAGAGTATTTGGCTGGCCATTATATTCTCCAGGTTAGTGGTTATTAAATGTTTTTTTGGAATATAAATTGTTCAAATAATGTTTGAAGTAGTGCAGAGCTCAAGCTATAAAGAAAATAAATATAAAATTACTGAGGATTAGATTACAGTGGTTAAGTAGTGGTACAGTATTCATATTTTATAGTCACTAATTACATGCAGCATAATGTAGTATCACTAGCAATAATGTTAATGCTTATTCATTGTCAGTCATCTGTTTATTGCCTCTTATGTATATATATTTCTATTAACTATAAAATTTGCAAATTTGTTTAATTCAACAGCAGCTAGTGGGAAAATTTGCTCTTTTTATAGATTTCTTCATAGTTATCAGTACCCCATTTCATTGGATAGGTAGACATTTGTACAGAAAATGTAGGGGAATTTCCATGTAAAGTTTAGGATAAATTATTAAGTATACAGTATTTGCAAATTCCCAAACCACCCCTTATGCCGCCATCTCTTCTCAACCAGAGTTCCGCAGTACCCAAGGTAGCTGGTGGTTCCTCAAGAGTTGTTGATAGGCTAATTGTAATTACATGCAAATGTATTTTTTGAGTCATTTGTTTGATTTTTCTTGTCTAACCAGTATCAAGAACAGACAGAAATAGTCTCCTTTCAGTTGACAATAAATTCTGTATCTGAAGCATAATCCAGAATTATTTCAAAAGTATAAATGTTGAGAAACTGCTCTATACAGTGGAACCGCTCTATCCAAATCCCCTTTTTCCTGATTCTTGGATTGTTGGACAAAAGAAATTTCCAATCCTTCACCCCCCCCATCCATAAACCAGTGTGCGTATGGTTAATAGTGGTTGCCCTCTATTAACCTTGAAGTCTTAATGGTTTGGCAATGTTTTTTTCAATTATTGGGTCATCCGGTGGTACAATTGGTCAGGGTTTTTGAGGTCACACTAGTGAGCATTAGGGAGAAGTGGCAGTATTATACTCGAGCAGATCATCATCATTTCTACTACAGTACTTTATAAGGCTAGGTATACTGTGGTGTTTGTGACATATAAAATGTTGAGTATTTAGTTAATTTTGCCTGGATTGTACCTGGATGGGGTTCTGAGATTTCTTCTCCCTCAGGCTGGGGCTGGGGGGAGAAGAAATCCCTATCCCTATATATTATATAAATATTTATATAATATTTATATTTATTATATAAATCCCTGGGGCTCTATATATTATATAGGGCCCCAGGCCCAGGCTGGGCCTGGGGCCAGGCTTGAATTAAAAATGGGTTTCTATTTATCATATACCCTATCCTCTTATCCTTGATATTCAAAATTTAATTTGAATTTCATTCAAATAAATTTTTGTCTCGTCTCACTTTACGATATTCACCCATGTTCTTGGCCACAGATTCGCACGAGTACACAACTTCCACTCTTCATTATCCATTCTTTCAACATGACCAAGCTAACCCAGCATACTCATCTTAGAATGCAGATATTGCTAGATTGAATTACATTCCTTATTTCCATTCCAACATAACTGGTCTCACAACTGTTCATGCTAATGTCTCATACTTCTACATTCATTACATAAGTGGAGACAAATGAAAACTGACCACTCATTTGTTGCTTAATATCTGTAATGTCTTGATTGTCTTGGCAAATACATTGCATTTGCACATTACAAACATATCATTGTTGGCACGGGTGTATAATGAAATCACATTTATGTGATGTACCAATGAGATTTATTTTATTTATTCTTGTTGTGATTCTTATGACCTAAATGTCTAATTTTATTTATTTATAGGGTGCATCAAGTTTCTTACCCGTAATGGCGTTGTCACCAAAAGAGGGGGAGAAAATCTTGGACATGTGTGCTGCTCCGGGTGGAAAGTCAACTCATATTGGTTTGTTGATATTTTAATCTACATGTATTAAGTATATTCATGACTTGTATAATCTGAGTAGCTTCCAGGTATGCAGATATGGTACCGATTGTTGATTAACCACTGAACTGCTCTGCTTTAAAATATGACACACCTGTGGTGTGCCAAAAATAAATTCTTTTCTTTTATTTTTATAAAATTTTCTCTTTTTGAATTGTTAAAAATGCAGTCTCTGATCACGGGAAACTAAAAAAAAAAATTTTGTGACATACTTTAGCCATGATGGAGCCGGGAATTTGAGAAAATTATGAGTGATGGCGTGCTTGGGGTCAGTCGGCTCCGCCACCCTGTGTAATTACCCAAGTGTAATTACCTAAGTGTAATTACCTAAGTGTAGTTACAGGATGAGAGCTACGCTCGAGGTGTCCCGTCTTCCCAGCACTCTTTGTCATATAACGCTTTGAAACTACTGACGGTCTTGGCCTCCACCACCTTCTCACCTAACTTGTTCCAACCGTCTACCACTCTGTTTGTGGGACAACAGTTGCTGTGAATATAATGTTTCACAATTATTTTGATGTCTTCTCATTTGTTTCTTCTCTGGTTTTTTGCTGTAATATTATTCAAAAGTGTGTAATCTGTGGAATTTATATAGTTCAAAGTGTGGAACATTGCCGTGCTCAAAATTATGGGGCTCATATATGTGGCATATATATTATATTCTATGATCAATCAAAGTGTTTTTGCTGATATTACACTATATACACACACATTGTATATACCCATCTACATATGTGCTCACCATAACAAACTACAAAGTTGGTATGGTGAGCCCAAAAAACAAGAGTGAGCTGCCACACCCAGCCAGCCATCCCTCACTCCTCCAATACCTTACTCGCCAACATTCCTCCTTCCACCATACTGTTATTGTTTTTATTACACTATTTACACATGTTATGTATAAGTATCTACATGTTTTATTCACCATAACTATACAACTAAGCCCCCTCCCCGCTCAGCTCGTTGTCGCCGTGTGGGGGCTTGGTGGGCGGCTGCCGGAGTGTGATGCTCCTTGGGACAGTCCTGTCCTTTTCTAGCCTTGTGCTCCTGCTGCCGTCCTCTCCAATTCTGCTGGGCATCTTTTCCTTTTCCTTCTGTTTCGTTTTTCTCCCTCCTCTTCTCCTATCTGCTTGCCGTTTCCTGCCGACCTTTTGCTCGTTCTGGTTCTTCCCTTGGACTTCTTCTATTTTGACGCCCGGGTGCTTGAGGAGGCATACTCTTGCACCCGTAGAACTGCAGTACCCGACGTCGAGAGCGAGGGGAACCTTTTATTGTCAATCCCCACTTCGTCACTGAACCCGATCTCGACGGACTGTCGGTTTCTTAAGGTGGCGTTTGTGGGGCGTATACTCACGACGCACCCCTAGGAGGCCCCGACAAGATCGGCGATAGCTTCTTGTTGGGTGTCCTGCCTCTAATTGTGGCTCCATGGTGGGTGTGGGGGCACATTCGTGAGTGAATTCTTCTTTCGTCAAGATGATTACCCCTGCTTCGGCTTCTTCTGGTTTACCTTCTCAGGCTCGTGGGGTGGGCGACCAAGCCCCCGAGTCGGTCCGTATTGGAAGACCGGGCTCTGTAGCCTCCGCTGCATTGGGCCCCGACCTTGCTCCTCCTTTGGCCTCTCTGACTCCTTCCCCTGGCTCCCCTCCCTCCTCTGTGGTTGGGTCGAGCCCCAAGCCCCCAGTGGTGACTACCTCGTCCCCTGGCGCGGCTCCTTCTCTCGTTGTTACTACTGCGCCTTTTAACCCCTCTCTCTCTGGGGGTTCTCACCGCCGTTCTCGTCACGGCCGCCCTCGCTCGATTCCTTCCAGTTCTGCTACCTATCAAGCCTTGTTTGGTCCCGCTTCGTGGGCCAAATATTTTGATCTCCTCCCTCTTGATTCTGCGCCTCCTGACGATTTCTCCCTTCATCGACATCTCATTGATTCCGTGGATGCCTCCATTACTTTTAACCCCACTCGTCTCGGTACGCGTGTCGTTGCTGCTCCTTCTCAGGATGCTGCTTCCCGCTTGGCTGCCTTATCCTGCCTTGGCGAGACCCCCGTTCGGGTCTCGAAGAACGTCCAGTTGAATGCCAGTGTTGGCACTATTTTGCTCCCGCCCCATGTTGCGACCGGTGTTCGGGACCTACGCGACTGCCACGACGATATTCGACATATCCTCGCTGCCCAGGGCCATTCTATTCTCCAGGTGGACACGTTTACTCGTCCCCCTCGTGGTAGTCGCCGTCAACCCCTCCGGGTTGTGAAGATTACCTTTGATGGTAGGACCCTTCCACCCTCTGTCATTCTTGCTGGTGCCAGGTGCTCTGTCCAGGAGTACATTCCTTCTCCTCGGCTCTGCAACAAGTGCTGGAGGTTTGGGCATGGTGCCCTCCGCTGCTCCGGGACTGTCTCTCTCTGTCCTTTGTGTGGTGGCGAAGGTCACTCTAAGTCGGAGTGCGCTTCTCCCCAGGCTCGTTGCCTCAACTGCGGTGAGGCCCATCCTACCTTCTCCCGTGCGTGTGTCCATTACAAGCTTGAGGCAGCCGTCCTCAACTTGAAGCACCGGGAGCGTTTATCTTTTCCTGAGGCGAGGCGCCAGGTTCGCCGGCTCCCGCCTTATGCTAATATCTCTTATGCTCGCGTGTTGCGCTCTTCCTCTCCTCGTCCTTCCCGCCTTCCTCAGACTCACAACCGTTTCCAGGCCTTGGACCCTGATGCGCCCACTGCCCCCTCCTCTGTCCCTTTGGGTTCTCTCCCGAAGGATCCTCCTCCTGGTCCTCTGTCTGGGGTTCCCCTTCCTTCTACCCGGTCTGTCGTGTCTTCTGTGTCTCCTTCCTCGTCCCCCTCCGATCCTCCTTCCCATCCTCTTCCTCCCTCTATCGGCTCTCCCCGCCGCCTGTCGGTGCGGGCGGATGTCCATCGCTCTCCTAACGGCCGTCGTGTGTGCTCTCGTTCGGCTTCTCCTGTTGAGACACTGGAATCCGTTGCCCGGTACGTAGTTGCTGGGACACCGGTCTCTTTAAGTCAGAAGCGTAAGCCTGGCTCCTCTCCTTCCTCTTCCCCGGCGGGTAAGAAGGCTTCGCTTTCTTCCTCAGCTCCTCCTTCTGGCTCTGTTGCTCCTTCCACTCCCGTTTCAGTGCTTGCGCCCCCTGTTCCTGCTATGGAGGTTTCTTTGGCCCCTGCTTCCCTTTCGGTTGCTGCTCTTGCTGGGGTGCTCTCCTCTCTTTCTACTCCCCCTCTTCCTGCTGCTGTCCTTGACTGCTCCTCTCCGTTGTCTCCTCCTCCTCCTCCTCCTCCTCCGGACCCTGCCCGCCCACCTCTGATCTGTTCTCCCGTTTCCTTCCCTCCGTCTTTGCTCAGTTTACCCATGCCCCCTAACCCTGACTTTGCTGACCCTGATCCCGACCCTGATATTCTTTAACGTGCTCTGTTGGTCTTTCGCCTTTGTTTCTTCCTTGTTCTCTGTTTTTGTTCTTTCTCTTCTCGTCGTTGTCCATTCTTCAATGGAACGTTCGAGGTTACTACGCCAATTTCCTCGAACTCCAACTTCTGGTTTCGCGGTTTTCGCCCCTTTGTGTCTGTCTCCAGGAGCCGATGCTTGGTGCTCGTCCTGGTCGTTTTCGTGGCTATTCCTTTCTCTCCCCCCCCCCAGCCATTGCTGGGGCTTCTAATTCTTCTGCTCTCTTGATTCGGGCTGATGTTCCCTTTGTTCCTTTACTTTTTCCTTCGCCTCTCCATTGTTCTGCTGCTCGTATCTTTGTGGGGAAATGGTACACAGTTTGTTCCATTTATCTCCCCCCGAGTGTCCCGCTCTCTCTTCCTGATTTGAAACACCTCCTAGACTCCTTGCCGGAGCCTGTGCTCCTGCTGGGTGACTTCAATTGTCGTCATTCTCTTTGGGGTGACGTTCTGACGAATACCCGGGGTCGCCTCCTTGAGCCGTTTCTCCTCTCTTCTTCCCTGTCTCTTCTGAATTCTGGTGAGCCCACTCATTTGGACTCTCGAACTCGCACCCTTTCTTGTCTTGATCTTTCTCTCTGCTCTTCTTCTCTTTACTTAGATTTCACATGGCAGGTTCTTGATGACCTCCATGGAAGTGATCATTTCCCCATCCTTGTTTCCTTTTTCTCTTTTCGCCCTTCCCTCTCTTTCCCTAGATGGCAGTTTGCTAAGGCGGACTGGACCCTGTTTTCCCTCAGTGCTACTCTCTCTGACCTCTCCCTTCTGCCCCTCTCTCGCGCTCTCCTCCTTTTTCATGACACTGTCTTCGACGCTGCCCTCCGCTCTATTCCTCGCTCTTCCTCTCGGGGTCCACGGAAGTGCGTTCCCTGGTGGAATGCGGACTGTGCTCGGGCTGTCCGCTGTAAGCGTGCAGCCTGGAAGAAGCACCGCCGTAGGCAGACGACCGATTCTTTTCTTTTCTTTCGGAAAGCGAGTGCGGTGGCCCGTAGGGCCATCCGTACGGCTAAACGTGAATGTTGGGCTTCTTATGTCTCGACAATTACGTCCGAAACCCCTCTGGCCCAGATCTGGAAGCGTATCCGCAAGATAGCGGGTAAGTTCGTTCCCGATGTTTCACCGGTCCTTCACCTCCATGATACTCTTGTGGCGGACCCGTTGCAGGTCGCTTCCGAACTGGGTTCCCACTTTTCTTCTGTTAGCTCTGGTCTTCATCTTCCCCAATCTTTCCTTCTTCGTAAACCTGTCCTTGAGTCTCGTCCTTTAGATTTCTGCACTCATCTTCAGCTTCCCTATAATGATCCCTTCTCTCTCTCTGAACTTCGTTCTGCCCTGGCCCTCTGCGGTTCTACGGCGGCGGGCTCCGATGGTATTCATTATGAGATGCTTCGCCATCTCCCTCCGAGCACGTCTCAGTATTTACTGAGTCTGTATAATCGGATCTGGGAGTCGTCGTCAGTCCCTGAGGACTGGCTCGATGCCGTTGTCCTCCCTGTTCGCAAACCAGGGTCTCTGGGT